CAAAAAACTTTCAGGTTTAAACTTCTTTTCAAGTTTCAAGTTCTAAATTTCCATTTTTAGATTCGGTGCTTATAAAACTTCTATTATCTTTTTATAAAACCCGCCACCACTCTCTTTACTAAAATCTCCCCTTTTCCAAATTTTCCAAAAAAATTTCTAATACCAAAGAGTTGGATTAGGCGACCAGAAATGATATGCTATCTCGTCTTCATAAGAAGTTTAAATCTAGAATCTGAAAGGACTGCCTGAGGTGGAAGTTAACCAGGGATAATCAATGCCTAGAAAAAGAAGTTTAAATCTAGAATCTGAAAGGACTGCCTGAGGTGGAAGTTAACCAGGGATAATCAATGCCTAGAAAAATTGAAATCTTTCTCAAACCGTACCAAGTAAATCCTTCCCATTTGGACGTCGAGCTTTAGAAAAAAAAAAGAATCGGGAGTGCCAAAAAGGAACAATTGTATACATAGCGGCGGAGTCACCTATTATTGAAGCCTGAACCAACAGACTTCTGTTGGATCGGCTGATACGTAATATACCTCCCTCATACTTCTCCCGGTTGTAACCACCATCAACATCAGCAGCATCTGCCCAGCCCCATTAAGAGCCAAAGCTGGAAAGGTCCTTCTATCATCAGCAGCATCAGAAGGCAATAGACCTTCATCTAACGATCAATCCTAGTTGGCTAAGGGAATTCCAGAAACTTGCATCCTTGAACCCTAAGGACACCATAAAACCACCAAATTGTAGTCCAAATCCCAAAGAAAAAAAGAAAATTTGAAAATCACCAGATCAGAGTCCATGTGGATCATGAAACCACCAAATCCCATCAAATTACGAAATCCTGGGGAAAATCCAAGAAGACCAGATGCTGGGCCATTGGCTTATCAATGTGACTTGTGTCACGGCCCATTCCGAGGCTCAGATTGAGCTCCACGTCTATGGGTCTATTTTCCTATTTATGTGATGTATCTGGTCAATTTTGAGAGACATATTTGGTGGATGAAACATAAACCTTAGTCTCCCCAATTCTATAAAGAAACCCCTCTGCAAAACCTTAGGTAAAACATACCCTACTCTATAAGAAAACTCATTGCAAAACCCATAAACTTATATTTTCCAGAGAGTAACACAAGACTATATTTTCCAGAGAGTAGGGTTTTTTACTTTAGAGGGGGAGTTTATCAACACGCATTGTCTTTCTTCACGTCTCTCCATCTCCCTCTCCCCTTTCATCTCTTAAAAATTAAATGTTACTTTTATCTCTCTAGTTTCATCTCCATCTCTCTATAATCAAAAAGCATCAACCCTACCTCACATACAGTCTCTCTCCACGTCTCCCCTCTCATGTCTTCTAAAAAAATTATGTGTTATTATATATTTCACATAGTTTCTCTCTTCCACTTTCATCTCTCTCGCTCTCTCTACAATTACAAGGCAATCTGTCTTAACATTTAAACCCACTTCGTGTTCTTAATTGTCTTGAATTCTCTCCTTTCTATGTTTTTGGTTTTGGTTGGATTAAGCCTTTTCTTGCCAAAAATATCTTCACAAATCGTGACTTAATTATTTAAAAAGAAACCCTTTCTTGATTTCTTTTTTTTTTTATAGAAAACCTCTAGTTTGTTTTTAAAATTTGCCATGTTTTGTTGCTCTTCCGATATTCTTATATTTATTTCTCCAATTTTTTTTCTACCTTTCCTAAAAAGAAACTTTCACTCTATTTTTACATTTATTTCCCCAATTCTATTGCTGTCACAATAAATTTAGACTTGTTCTATCCATGTATCTCTCTCTTTTGTAGTTTAGGATTGCTTTAAATTTAGGGATTTATCCCATGTATCTCTCTAAATCTCTCTACCAAAAAGATACCACCTCTCTCTCTCATATTATTTTTAGAAGCCTTTCTAACTTCTGTTCTATTTGAAAAGTATTTACCCTACAATCTCTCTACATTTTTTTTAAACTCAGAATAATTATTTTCCAAATTAGAAATATAAATCTATTTTATGTCTATCATTTGGGCCATACTTGGATTTTTTTTAGGGAAAGTATCTCTATATCTTTCATTTTTTCATAAACCCAAGGTTTTAAAAGATATCTTGTAACCCTTGGATAATTTAAACTTATTTTTAACCTAAACAAATGTGAGAAAGACTTCATCTTTTTAAACCCAATATTTTCTCTCTCTTCACTTATATATCCCAAATTTCTCTCTTTATCTCTCTTCCTACATCTCTCACTCTCTCTCTCCTCCCATGTTTCTCCAAACACCTATTTCTCTCCTCCTAATAACCTCTCACCTCCATGAAGCCCTTCTCTCTCTCATACTCTCTCTCTCTCTCTCTCTCTCTCTCTAGAAGTTTGAGATGATGGCTTTTAAAAAATACTTGTCTTTTTAAATTTGTTTGGTCTAAAAAAACAGGTTTACATCGCTCAGGGGTTAGAAGAAATAAAATGCACAATTTTTATGCCCCAATGTATATTTTAAAACCTTGGGACTATTGTGAAATGAAACCTAAAAATAGGTGGTATGGAGATATTTTCTCTTTTTTTTAATGTTATTTTGCATCTTCTCTAGAGGTAGGAAGTAAATTTGGCCTAAATTCCTATAATATCTAGGATACCTAACCTCTCTCAACACTCAAGATAGGATCCCTTTTTATTCTTTTGTCATTTGTCTACCCTTTAACTTTGGTTTAATAATATAGTATAGATATCCCATACTCCTTAGCTTGTGCAGATAAATGGGACATCGATGATCATTGGGGTCCAACTTGAAATAAATAGGTGCATGTCATTTAAGATTAAGCCATTTATGGAAAAACTATGAAAAATTGTTTCATGTGAGCGGTCCAAAGGTATAAAACATCCAATTTAAATATGGATACAAATAGGTGGTCCATCTAAAAACAATTGTAACTAATGATCTAAATGTTTTCTTAATAGAATAATTATTTCTAGTTTTCAATTTTTTTTTTTTTATATTCATGATCCCCATGTTAGATATTTTATATTCTCTAAAACTTAGGATCAAATTATATTTAAAAAATATATTTATTGCTAAGCCTGCATTTCTACATGTGCAGACTTGGCCACATGCTAACCACGTCCAAAAACTATAGAAGCCGAAAAGACAAAAGGAGTCATATAATACGTAGTTGAAGGACTCGGTTTCTATGCGGCCAAGCCTGCATATGTAGAAATGTGGGCCTCTTAATAAATCTATTTTTGAGATAGACATTAAGACTTTTTAAGGACATGTAATATCTAACATGGAAATCATGAATATGTATAAATAAATAAATTTTAAAAAACTAGAATTAATAATTCTAATAAGGAAACATTTGGACTGTTAAGTTCTATTGTTTTTATACGGAACACCTGCTTGCATCCATCAACACCTACTTGCATCCATCTTTAAGATGGATGTTTTACACTTTCTGGACTGCATATATAGAAATGCAGTCCAGCCGCAAGAAACAATTTTCCTTAATTGAACTCCTTTGATGGGGATATAAGACTGTCAATTGACTATGATAATAAATACTAAATACTTACCCTAGAGATAAAATATTACCCCAAAATGTAAACCACGAATTATTGATTCTTTGATTTTCAAATCAAAGAATAATGCTATAAAGTTATACGATTGATGTATACTAGTGCCATCTACTAAGTACCGGTTAGCATGCAGTGTTGACTATGGTTGAGTAAAACTTTTGTGCCCCATGTGCAATAGTTGTTACTCAATAGTAAATATTTTATATGATATTGATTACTTGGGCTGGTCCACTTTTTTCTTTTTGAAATAACCCATTGTTCCTCTCTCTTTCACTCTGTTTCTTGGTTTTTTCTTCTCATCGTACAATGCTTGTTAAAAATTTATTGTCTACCATGAAAATCAAGTCTTGGCATCACTTTTTATATATTTTCCTTTTACATGTAAAATCATAAGTAAAAGTAACTCTATATCTTTTCCGGACCTGTTTATATTAGGCGTGGTTTAAGGTTGCAACTTTAACCTGGTGCTGATTTGGTGTCAAAAATTATTAGAATGGTGCGGGAATCTATTTTTATCTCTAATTATAAATTTTTAAACCAAAAAAATGGTTTAAATCAAGCAGATCTATAAACGCATGAAAATTTTGAAAATGGATGGTCTTGATAATGTGTTGCAAGTTGTATTGCTTTTAGGATTTGAGATCTCTTTTTTTATCCATATCCATACATCTCGATATCGGGAAGATGAATTAGATGTTTTTCCAACATCAAAACAAACTTTTCTGAAAGATTTCAGAGATACACCTTTCAATGAGGGATTCTCCTTTCTCTTTCTGGATAGTGGAAGCTAGAACGGGATATATGGTTCGCGCACTTAGACCATACAATTTTTACACTGATCGTGCCAAACAAAGACAAATATTATTTGGACCTAGGCTTTATGAAACAAAGTAAAGCCTCACTTTGAATCCTCATCCAGAAAGTTCTTTGGACCTCATAAATCTTCATGATGGCGCTAAAATTAATTTTCAAAACCAACTATAAAATTTGAAACTAAAAAAAAGGTACATATTTTACATATTCTTGAACATTTATTTTTAAGGTGAAAAAGAGAGTCTAGATAATATGTTATAATATACATTATTTTTAGATATTAAAATTCTATTTTTACACAATCATAATGGTTAAGGCCGGATGATCAATTTGAAAATTCATTGACATAAGAACTACAATTTTATGCAAGTTTTGAGATTTAATTTATGCCCCTTATAATATATTTTCCATACCTTCTCTCTCCTTTTTCCCTCTTCTAGCATGGGGAAGATTCTATCATATCAAGTGGATGTCCTAATATACCTCCTGGTCAACTGGCTAGGTAGGGTTGTGCCCCCCTGTCGTTTAGAGAGAGAGAGAGAGAGAGAGGGCTAAAAAAATATATTTAAATTAAAAATTAAAAATTAAAGGAAAAGAATAAAAGAGATTTGGAAGAACAGGGAAGACCCTTCCCTCATGTGATTCCATCCTCGGATTTGTCTGAACCAACCATATTCCTCCATCTAATCATGCCCCCCACGCCCTTCTATCATTTCTCTCAACCACCCATACACCTTCTTTTCATCATTCTCTCACCTCTTCACAACCCGCCTCTCTCTCTCTCTCTCACACACACATACACACATGGGTGATCCTAAAATTTGCAGGACATTACATGAGGACCCATCTCCAAAGATCCAAGTCGTTTCGAAGGCGACATCGGAGAAGCTCTTGGGTAAATTCTCGGATCTATCAGAGTATGGGTTCGACTATGAGGAGAGTAGGTTATGGTCCCCTTTGGTCCCAAGGGGTGCCTTCTTCTTCAACTCCCCCAACCACATCTCGACCGACCGAGAGATGTTTGCACGGCTGAAAGCCCATGAAAATGCATCATCTCCCTCCAAGAAGAAGAAGTACAAGGAACGATTCCATGTATGCCCAACCTCACTCTCTCATGAATGCTAAATCCTGTCAAAATTCTTGTTTTGGACATTATCAAGGCCTTGTAATTCATGCATTCGCCTCCAATTGCTCATAATAATTGTCTTTTTTTCTGCTTTTCTTATTGTTTGGCTATTCTTTTCTTTCTTTTCCGTTAATGAATAGGCTATGTGGAAGGAGGAGGAAAATCCCAACTAATTTTCATCAATTCTTCATTTTCCATGGATTTGCAGGTATTTTGGTGCCAATGTGCCATTAAATTGTAGTTGGCTTTGCAGAGAATACATTGTCTATCAGTCATTTCGAAGAGACAGTAGTGCTCCTCTTGATTTTGATGTATAAAGGTTGTACCTCTTGCAAATGATGGTGATTGAGTTGTAAGGAGTGATGTCCAATTTTGGATTAATTTTTGGGTTCCCATTTGATGTAAATAAAATCTGAATTTCCAATTAAGTTTTGGTGTTTTAAATCCTGCTGTGTTCTTTTTTTCTTCCTTTTTTTTAAGGTAAATTATAGATCCAAAACGTTATAGGTCAATGATAAAGACCACTATGATCATGAATTGGGCAAAATAAATTACAGTTTTAAAATAAATTATTCAGAAAAAATGAAAATGAACAGTGGACAAAAGGAGTTTTAAATGGCGTACTTTGAAAATTTAAATTTAATTTAAGATTCATGATCTTGTTGCATTAACTAAATTTTAGAGTAAAAAACCCATCCCTAATATACATTTACTTCGTTTTGAATAAGACAGCAGTTAAACTTTTCCCGGATAAATAATTGGTTCTAATGCAAAATTGATTTACTTATTGATTTACTGACATTTAAGTTCATTGCATGGCATCCGGGACTTAATTTAAAGAGCACAAAAAGGGCTAGTTTGGATGTTTTCTTTTGCATTTATGTGTACTTCATGGCCCTTTCCATTAGCTTTTCTTGATGTGAATGTGGGCCATATGACCTGTTCCAGAAATTTAAGGAATGTATTGTTAGGTTTGTTTGTCAATATTAAAAAAAAAAAAAAATTAGCTGCTTTTGAATTTCTGCCGGTCTGTTGATATACTCACATTTTGTTATAATCTTTACCTCCTCCTCTAGGGTGACATTGTTGGAAAATTGGTGGGTTAAAAAAAGAGCAAAAGGTAAGTACAAATTGTAAAAATGAAAGCTCAAATTTTTTGGGCACGTAAGAACGCTATCTCAAAACGATCTGTACTTTATTTATTGTGCATAAGAAGGGCAATTCGTCCTTGAGATGCAAAAAAACATAGAGGTATCTTTGATATTTCAAAGCTCTATGCACATGAGCTTTGAAACTACACACTAGTCTTTGATCTTTTAGAGAGAGAATTAGAAAAAAAACAAGACGAGAGAGAGAGAGACGAGTTCACTGATTTACTCTCTAAAAATTCACAAAAAATGGTGTGTTTAGAGAGATGCCAAAGGCTGTTCAAGTGTCTATCTCATATGGGAGAGATACCTTATTTTATAGACCCACAAGGTAGCTGCATATTTATTGTAGTACTGGTTACACGCACCACCAACAATTATTTGTTATATGCAGCCCTTAACTCACTTGTAGTGGTGGTTACATGTACCACCAACAACTACAAGTTACGTGCACTTTAACTCTCTTGATGGCTATTGTTACATCCTTCTTTTGCCTCCATTTCATCAATGGCTAGATGACCGTTGGATCCCCATACAAGTCGAGATCACAAAAAGATAGCAAGCCATGAGTTCGACCCACACATGTGCTTGGCCGAGGAGCACCTCATGCACTGATCCAATGAGTTGGGCTCACAAAAAGATAGCGAGTCACGAGCCCGATCCACACACGTACTCTGGCAAAGAGCGCCAATACGAGCGTACGAAGTGTAAAATATACCATCAAGCACGCTTGCGCCCATGCAAGCTTTACGTGTTCCGCACATACACCATCTCTTTCACCATTGTACTAAGAGTATAATACATGGAAATACGCACTTTTAAATACAGCTCAATAAACTCTCTCATCTTCAATTGACAATCAAACCCATATCTATCTCTCTCTACAAAACAGTTTAAAAAATTACCACAAAAACATATTATTGTTCTGAAATACACCCAAGTACTTTTTGAAACAGAAAATACTAACAAACGTAGTAGGGTCTTTCTCTTATGTTTTATATTGCCTTAACACATACCATGCCATGGGTGATGTAAGCTTCATATCACATTTAATATGATATTTTTTGCTGTTTTCTACGCATGTCATTGTATGTATACCCCCATCACGTATCTATGGAAAGTATACTAATTACTTTGATACAAAGAAATCAAAGTGATTTTTGTCTTTTATATTTCAAATTGAATGGTTGTAAGAGTGTTATTAACTACACTTAAAAACAAAAAAAAAACTTTTTGAACTTTATGATCAATAAAAGAATTTTTAGGGGATTGACAAACAAGATATTATTTATTATTTCAAAGAGATGTGCTTTGGTGAGAGAACACTTCTTCTCCACTATTAGAAGGATATTTCGAATTGAACTTTGATGGAATATCAATTGAAAATTTTGAAAAAAGCATAACCATTACAACTCATAGATACAAAGTAGTCCTTATCTATTTGGGACCATGTGGCATAACCTCAGGCAATGAGGCAAAAGTCACGGCTGAAGGAGGCTCATTAAATACTGTCAGGTGATGTAAAGGAGGGATATTGACTTGTAAGGGTCGACGTCCTTTCGATTAATTTTTGGGTTCCCATTGGAGATAAGGAAAAAGTTTATCTAGAGCCGAGGCTCTAAATAATCAACTTAAAGCGCACATCAAAAATTTACTTAAAAGAGGTTATTTTGATACTCAAATATCTTCAAATTGATCATCTCGACATCAAAATGTATGGACATAAAAAATAATTCCATTTCAAGTTTTAAAAATACTGTATCTTCTAATACATTTTTGGACCATCAACTTTTAAAATTTTCAAGTTTTCATAGATTACTTGATCTACACTTTGAAGTTTGAAACTTTATAATTAGATATGAAAATATATTTTACTCGTTATCTCAAAGATTCACGCTACCTCAAAGATTCCTAATATTGAAACCACATTTCTCTATACTATTTAAGCTCATTAAATACAACAGGTGATGTAAACTAGAAAGAGAAATCCCTTGGAGATTAATGCGTACAAATAAGGGAAATGCTCGATATCATATAGAAGAAGGAAAATTGTTTCATGTGGGCTGGACCACATTTCTACAATATTTGGTCCAGAGGTATAAAGAGTTACACTTTCTATATAATTTTTTCAATGTTTTTTTTCCATATTCATGATCTCTATGTTAAAGATTATATATACTCTAAAAATTAAGAACAAATTATATTAAAAAAATATATTTATTGCCAATCCGGCATTTCTACAATATGCAGGCTGGCCGCATAGAAACTGTGTCCGTAGAAGAATGATATCCAAATTTACGATTTGGAGAGGCATAAGAGTTACAGATTAGCCAAAAATTTTATATGCCCTTTTAAATTTTAACTGATTGATGAATTGATGTTGGGAAATGATGAAAGAAAGACTTGTGTGATCTTTTACCAAGGAATACATTTTTTTTTTTCTCACCCCTTTCTTTTGGCAAAAGATCAATTACATGTGGTCTTTATTATAATAAGATAAATTTCAAAATAAAATCAACATAACAATAAAACCAAGATCTTAACAACTTGATGCTATTGAAACAACTATGCACTTTGTTTGAGAATAAAAGATAATATTACAAGAAACAAAAGGAACAGTGCCGGAGATTACCTCAACCGGGCTTATTACATCCCACACCGAGTCACCACCATCTGATGGCACGGGATCAACGATCTAGCTTCAATCTCGAATCGGGAAAGCAAATTTTGGCCAAGCCACACCAATGAAACATGAACCCGTTTGATTACAAATTCAAACCCTAGGTGAATTCTCTTAGCAACCTAGTTTGAGAGAGATGAATTCTCGTTTTGCTAAACCCTAAAACCCTTAGCCATAAATCCATATTTGAGAGATAGGAGAGAGAAGAACTCCATAACCTAAACCCTTAGGTTCTTTCATAATGTGGGAGAGAGATAGAAAGATAATGTGTAGAGATTTTGAGTAGAGACAATCCTTTTTTTATAGGCTTAAAGAAGAAGATTAGGGTTTCTTAGGGTTTTCCTTGGCTTGCATCTTCTTGTGAGATTGAACATTGACCGTCGATCAAGAGTGACTTGTGGGGTGAGAAATCCGACCCATCCATTCCATAAATGGGCCATCAACAGTATGGAATGTGCATGGGACATTATCCCCCTTTCAATAACCATTTTTCCATCAATAGAAATTAGATTATTTAAATAAAATTAAAATATTATACATTCCATAATCTTTCAAAAAATATTCCAAAGATATATCAAATCAATATATACTTTCAATAATTGGTCAATATATGGTCAAAATATTCCATATCTTATTTACTCACATGCCATAACATAATATTACCAAAACATGAAATAATTTAAACTCCAAGAAAGAATCTAATGGGTGGGGCGTGCCACCCATGTGTGGCACATGTGGGCCCCACCCACTTGACACATGGTAGGCCCATGTGCACTATAGGCCCCTCCATGATATTTTACATAATTTTAAATTATAAAAAAAAAATTAAAACATTATTTGAATTTTTTAATTTCGTAAAATCAATATCTACATTTTTATAAGTCTAAAAAAAATTATAAATAAAATATCAAATGACTCATAAAAATTCAAATAATAATTCTAAAATAATTTCTATCATAAAGGACATATAATTAAATTAACTTGATGGGAAATAGATCCATATGGTTAAGAAATTTAATCTGCAATCATGGGGCACTCCACCTTCAACTGTGGACTACAGACCACACTTGATTTATCAAACCGACCCAGTGTTTTAGTCCAAGCAGGGGCTCATTAGCGGATCACTAAAGTCTGATGGATGTATACGCGTCACCCTAAAAGGTGGATTTTTGGCTTTCCCAAATGATCTATCGATATGCATGTCGTGTGATGGTACATGGATGAGGTTTTGGCTCTTGTCTTTGTAGGCCACCATCACACACAAGGGTCACACAGTCCCTCGGCTCACTTATCCAGACATATTCTTCGACCTCATCAAGGGCTAACCCATAAACCCTCATCGGTTTGTTCTTCATACCCAGGTAACATGGGTTTTTCCTAACCAACTGACCTAGATCGTTAAACATAGATCGGTATCAGCAAACCATCGTTTACTTAATATGGTCCACGAGGGACCATACTCCCACTGAGTTCATGTTCCATTATATCATTTCATTTTACAAGCACTCATAAAGCCTTTAAAGGCTACATAAACCCAACAAATGATACAACCAAACAAGATGTAAGGTCGAAT